GACTAAAGTCTGTGGATCAGGTTCTCAATTCCTTTTGTTTAAATATATATATATATATATATATATATGTATATATATATATATATATATATATATATCCCTCTATCTGAAAGAATACCTATTATTATTTATAAAAATTTAGTAAAGTGCTCTGGATAAGAGTGCTATATAAGAACTGCAAATATAAATGTTAAGAAAAATAAGGTAGTACTGTGATGAGAGATATATTGTACCTTCCAGTTCTCATTCTCCGAACACTTTGTTTGCTTTCTTATTTTCTCTTTCTAAAACTGACAGGTACAAATGGAATTTGATTTATACTTACATTTATTTGAAGAGGACTTGTCATCTACAAAGTTTTTAGCATCAATAAATGTATTTTTTAAGCTAACTATAACTTGAACTTTCTTTGTCTCGCAATCGGTTTATCCCTAATAGAAACATTTAGCTTACAGTTTCAAGGTCCACATTAGTTTAGAAGACACTCTAGTTTGGATGACCTGAGGTCAGTGGCATGTTCTACAAAAAACTTATAGTGAATTACTGCAATTTCCTGAACTTGGTGACCTGCTCCTTGCTGAAGTCTTGAAGGCTGCCAGGTGATGGTGTAGCTAAATCAGTCTACACATATAATGAGTGTGTTTGGCAGACTCCAATAGTAGGTAGAGCCAAAACAAATGTACATAGTGATGAAAGGAACCGTTTGTCCTAGATTTCTCCATGTCTCAATGACTAACGGACTCTTTAGTTCTATCAGACATTCTGTCACATGTTCTTGTTTCTGTTACTCTGATCCAATCCCTGTTGTCTATGGTATCAGTAAATATTAACCTCTGCTAAACTTATTCCAGCAGGCATGATTAATAAAAAAAAAGACCAACCATCATCCAGCAGAGAGAAGGAGTAACTTTATTAAAGATTTTGTGATGAACTTTTCTTTCCTTGTGCACAGTGGATGTTCAACATCTCCAATATGCCATTTTGCTTTCATGAATAGTGACAATTTGAGAGTTTCTTAGATTGCATCATATGCTCTGAGCAGCCATATTTTTTTTATTATTAATACATTCTTAGGGATTCAAAAACTGTGATGCCTGTGGTTTTATAGCTCTGGTGCACTGAGGCATAGATTCTACAAGAATTCTGAATGTGTTCTGTGGTAGGAATTAGCAGCAGACTCTATATATATAATCCAAACAATTGGGGTGCAGTCAAGGTTTTTCAATCAGTGAAATAGTTTAAACAATCCATCAGTGCATCAAAATACAAAAAACAACAGTGTCCCATTCGACATTTCGACCCCTGAAGGTCTTTCTCAAGATCATGTAATTTAATAATAATTTATTTATGTATTCCTAATTCCGTGGATCTTTACCAGAGATCTTGGAGTGTGAGGGTTATCTTATCTTATTTTTGTTAAAAAAATCATGACACAGTGTAATATGTCATGTGTTGTTGTTCATCTGAGGTTGTATTTACCTATTTAGACCTCCTTAGAAACTGATGATTGTTTTTATGTAAACACCATGTAAAACCATAGAATTCATAGAGGCTGTACTTTCTTTTTCCCATGACTGTATAATATTATATATATATAATGTGAGATCTCGGAGATCTCACATCTGATCTATGAGCAAGGTTATTTAATTATATATTTTCACCCAATATCAAAAATTGTCCAAACCCCCAGTGCTAAGAGGATAATGACATTTTCTTAACGTCCAACTTTTGCAGATTTTCCTAGGGACCTTGGACATCTCCAAATTCCCTTGAGTCAATACTTATACATGCTGGGTTTACTCGGCAAATCCTTGGCATTCAATTAATTTAAATTTGTGTATTGGTGAGCATGTGCACAGTTTGGCTATGAAGATGAATGTTTGACAGTGGATTCATGGATGTTTTTCTTTTAACCTGTAACAACAAATTAACTATGACACACTCACCAGTGCCCTAATTAAATTATTTTTTCCCATCTGGAAACCAGTTCATTTTGTCATTATGGATGTGGAGGGGCTCATTTGAGAAACAGTAGAAACTCCAAATAATTAATTTTTTAATCCCATCCCCAACAGACCCTACGTTTTAAACATTTATGGTCGTTTACAAAGGTTATTCATACAACAAAGAATTAACAAAGGAATTACAATTGGAAACCAAAATACCTGGATAAGCCAGAACAATAGCTAACATCTTTAAAGTTTGATTGTTTTAGATTAATATTTATCATTTTATAGAAACATAGAATGTGACGGCAGATAAGAACCATTCGGCTCATCTAGTCTGCCCAATTTTCTAAACACTTTCATTAGTCCCTGGCCTTATCTTAGGTAGGCTATCCTTATGCCTATCCCACACATGATTAAACTCCTTCAGTGTGTTAACATCTACCACTTAAGCAAGATGGCTATTCCATGCATCCACTACCCTCTCAGTAAAGTAATACTTTCTGATATTATTTTTAAAGCTTTGTCCCTCTAATTTAAGACTATGTTCTTTTGTTGTGATAGTTTTTCTTCTCTTAAATATAGTCTCCTCCTTTACTGTGTTGATTCCCTTTATGTGTTTAAATGTTTCTATCATATCCCCTTGTCTCGTCTTTCCTCCAAGCTATACATGTTAATATCCTTTAACCTTTCTTTGTAAGTTTAGTAGCCTGTCTCTGAACTCTCTCCAAAGTATCAATATCCTTCTGAAGATATGGTCTCCAGTACTGCATACAATAATCCGAGTGTTCTGTAAAATGGCATGGTTACATAGTTACATAGCTGAAAGAGACTTGCATCCATCAAGTTCAGCCTTCCTCACATTTGTTTTTTGCTGTCGATCCAAAAGAAGGGCAAAAAAAAAAAACAGTTTGAAGCACTTCCAATTTTGAAACAAACTAGGAAAAAATTCCTTCTTGACCCCAGAATGGCAGTCAGATTTATTCTTGGATCAAGAAGCTATTACTCTACATTGACAAATTATATCCTTGGATATTCTGTTTTTTCAAGTATGCATCTAGTTGCTGTTTGAACATCTGTATGGACTCTGATAAAACCACTTCTTCAGGCAGAGAATTCCACATCCTTACTGTTCTTACAGTAAAAAACTTCTTTGCCTTAGACAAAATCTTCTTTCTTCCAGTCTAAACTCATGACCTTGTTTCCTATGTAAAGTCCAGTTTGTAAATAGATTTCCACACAATGGTTTGTATTGGCCCTGAATATATTTGTATAATGTTATCACATCCCCTCTCAGGCGACGTTTTTCTGTAAATTTGTCAACCTTTCTTCATAGCTGATATGTTCCATTCCTTTTATTAATTTTGTAGCCTGCCTCTGCACTTTTTTCAAGTGCCATAATATCCTTCTTTAGAACAGGTGCCCAAAATTGCACAGCATATTCAATATGTGGTCTTACAAGTGATTTATAAAGAGGCAAAATTATATTCTCATCCTGAAAATGAATGCCCTTTTCCATGCATGACAATACCTTACTGGCCTTAGCTACTGCTGATTGACATTGCACATTGTTGCTTAGTTTGTTGTCTATAACAATTCCCAAGTCCTTTGAGCACTTCCCTCATTTTACTGCTAATTTCCTTGATAGTTCTTTACAATCCCATCTACAGTACATACACATCTGTTTTGTTTGATGGTAAATGCCTTCAAATACATTTATTAGTCTTTATAGACTGATATTTGTACCCTTTGCTTATAATTTGATAATATAAGGATAAGGTATGCAATAGACTTGTAGATTCATTTGTTTAAAATTATCAGATAAGAATCATAATGTGTGGAAATATCAGTTAGATCAGTATTTGTTTATTATGCAGACTTATTGTTCTTATAGGCTAAACAATCCTATATCCTGTATATTAACCTAACTTTAAATGTGAAATATGTTTACATTTGAGATAAATAAAGAATATGCCATGAATAGTATATGCCATAGGTTTAAGACATGGCATTTTAAGATTTTCTTATGAATAGAAATGAGATAAACAATGGATGAGCCTATATATGTTCAATATTTTTCCTCTGTACAAAGGTGGAATACATTTTATCTCAACAGAAATAAATTCTTCAAGTGTAAGATCTCTGTAACAATAAAGCCAGTGTAAAAAATAGTTAATTAGTTGGGAGAAGCCCATTTTTTCTTATTATTTGTCTAGGTGGTAAATTATATTATATTCCCATAATTGAAATAAATAAATTAAACTTTCAACGATACACAGGGATCTGTTCAGTAAACAGTGGGATGTTGTAGCAATATTAACATTAAAACAAAATAGTTAAATTGTAAAACCTATGCAAATTTGCGAACTAGGAGATTTTTTTCTCCAATTTGAATATTATGTACTAAATGTTACTTGTTGTTTCTAAGTTCACCAATTGTCAAGAGTTTCTAGTTCTCAAAAACAACTGGGAGGGCTCCAGGACACTCTTGGCACCATAACCATTGCAATGCAGTGCAGTTGTTATGGTGCTTGGTGTGTTCCTTTAAATCTAACTGTGAAGCAAAGAGACCCTTCTGACTATTGATTGTAATGTTTGCATTGTTATGTAAACACTTTGATCCCAGATTCATAATGTCATGAATAATTTGATCATTCAGCATCATTTGGACTGTAAAATCTTGACATCTATAAGTTCACCTATAAAAAGCAAAGGAATATGTTTTATTAATTTGCCATCTACTAGATATATACTGAGATCCAGTGACAAGTTAGTATTTCACAAACATTATTTTAAAGTAGACACCAGATGATGGTGGCTAGAATGTGTTAAATGAGATGAATCACAACATTTGGGAGGTTCAAGGGGGTTTCACCAGTGATGTAATTTGCATTACTGGTGATATTCATAATGGGGGGCCCAACCAGGAAAAGGGCATGTCTGTCCACTAAAGGGGACATGGCAGCATGGCATCAAGCATGCCATGCTGACTAAGACCATCCTAACCTACATATAGGATTATGGATGACAACCTACCATTTTGCTTGTGTGAAGAGAAACTCAGGTGCAGTGGATCGACAACCCATTGCAAACACAACCTTCACAGGTGCCTGAGAGTCATACTGGAGACTTAGAGATCTATGAGGATGTGGGTGCCTTTATTTGCAGAAAAGCCAGAAAAGAGGAGGCAGGAAGCGGTGTCAGGCGGTCCGATGGTCTGGAATGGCAGCAAAGGAGTGAGTTCAAGAGTCAAGCCGAAAGTCAGAAGCCAGGAAATCCAGAATTGAGAGCAGGATGCCAAAAGCCAAGGGTCAGAGACAAGAAGCATGGTAAGGGTCAAAGCCAAAGGTCAGAAGCCGAGAAGCCTTACCGTGAATCAGGAACCGGAAAGCAGGAACCAGGAGCAGAAACCAGGGTTAGGAACTGGGAACAAAGAAAAAGATGAGGAACAAGGACTAGGATCAGGATCAAGAACCAAGAACCAGCACGCCATTAGACTGGACCAAACAACACTGGACCAAACAACAGAACAACCAAGCATTGACTAAGTGCAGTGCTTGGCTATTTATAGGAAGAATCGATTACCCTGCAGTTGGAGCTTTAATGCCTCTAAAGGAAGAGAGGAAACTGGGCGCCATCTTAGCAATTCCCTAGTCCATAAACCCTGTCTATCCAGTCTATCCTCTCACTGGCTCTCCCCAACCTATCCCACATGCTGTACCAGAGTCTGCATCTTGCAGAGGCCGGTGCCAGGCATTATCAAGGAAAGCCAAAGAAGCAGCAGCAGTGTGTTGCAACAGAGCTGTGTGCAACAGAGACTCCCAAGGACTGCCTCCAGAACTTTGCAGGTGCCATGCTGAAGGCACGTGCAGGAGTATCCGTCAATATGGTCAGGTCTCAAAAATGCTTTTGCTCACTTGTGCCATTAAAAATAGAACCTATACCATTTTCATATCAGTCTGATCCCACGCATAAGGGCAATCCAAAACTGAAGCAAGAGATTCAGCAATGATAGTTTTAGCCTTCTCTGGTTCTTGTCGGCGACATATAGCTTCTACCCCTCTAGGCACAGTGAGCACGAGGTCCACATGCCAGAATGTAAAATTGTGAACACAGTAATCATGGGTAAATTTTTCCAAAAAGCAGAAAGCATAACCATTTTCTTTTTTTATTCTATGTTTCTAAAGAAACAAGAACGAGGCAAATGGATCTTAGATTTTGTCTATTGTCTTTTGTTCTAGCATTATTATTTTATCTATCTATTAAATTAATATTTCATTTATCCAAACACATGTTTCACAGTGTGTTGAGAGGATCTAGTAAAGTCAATTTGCTGAATTTATTTTAGTATAAAGTAGATTATTAAAGAATGGATCATTGAGCACCGAGCGATCACAATACATTTATGTTGTTACCATAAAGATAATATTGGTAACCAGTGTTTCTAAGAGGTTATTGGTCTCTTTTTTTCCTTCTGTTTGATGTATGGGCATGCTTATATCAAATGTATACATCGGACAAATGCAAGTAAACTCGCTAAATGCAAATTGCATTAAGCGCATGCTATTTTTTCTTTACTTCTATGCACTGTGGAAATGTATGTATCTTATTTTAAAAACATAGATTCCAGAGGCCACTCTTTGAAGACTAGAAGTATTTGTGTGATCTTTACAGAGCAAGAATCTTACATGTTTTTGACTCTAAGTCCTTATGTTTTTTTGTTACTATTTAAGTGGTTTTGCCTTAAGATGTAATCGCCGTTAGCTTGTCTTGTTATATATCACAGGATACAAGTTTATGCCATTTTCACAAACACAGTGCGCAGTGTAAAAATATACATCCTTTCATTCCACCCCACATTATGTGGCCAGCTTTTCAAAAAAGCTTTTCTTTACGACCATAGTCAAAGTATACGGTATCAGACACTTGGTAAACAAAGACAAAAATTGCACGGCAGCAAAGTAAAAGAGATTTATTTTACTCAGAAACTAAATAGGTAAATAATCGGTTAAATGATACCAATGTCTAGCTTAATAAAACAACGGAGGCAGAATTGTATTTAACTGAACACGTAATGTTTATTGAACTACAGTTGTGAAAATAGACGAACACTGAAGAATGGGTTTTGATTCCTCTGCATTATGTGAGCTCATTATGCAAATGCTTTTCTGTGTGCTGATAATTTCAGATAAGCAAGTGGTGTAGAGACATTGTCTGATTTTGTAGACAGATTCAATCCTTCTAATATTTCAATCAAAATGACACAATTCCCTGTCACTACTGATTAAGCAATCATACTCAAATTATGACAGTTTAAGCTCTACAGAATTCTGGCCAGTTCCCCATGCTGTATATGAATATATAATATAAATAAAGTGTATATTTGTTCCCTGCTCTGTGTATCGGGATAGAACACTCATCTTCCATCTGGCTGTATTAAATTACTTTACTCCCACTTCACATACTTGCATTTCGTATATGTAAAACTATGTAAATCACATCTTGTAAAACAGCAGACTCAATGTTATTTCGGCTGTTAATTTTAATAAACAAATTTAATTTGAAAGTCTGCGTTAAAGGATGTACAAGACAGACAAATCCAAGACTCCCACAAAGGAACATTTTAGACTTGAAGGGTAAAAGAAATGTTAATGGCTGTATGATTTTCAAAGCTTGATATGTCTATTTTGATGTGAAAAACAAACAGAATGATTGTCCTTGTACAGAATTTCAATGTGTCCATCAGAATATTTTATCTTTTTTGCTTTTATTCTTTTCAGTATGTACAGCAACTTCTTTTTTTTTATCGTTGCCCTTTTTTGGATATTGGCTGTTGGCAGTTATAAATACAGAACAAAATACAATAAAATAAATATAACAACCTTCACTTCTATTTGTGCCCCTCAACCAGCTTAGAAATGAATTTCTTCAGTCAATATCTCTGCTGTAACTTGCACAGGGCAAATGGTGTCCTCATCACTGTACGGTAATATGTATGGATAAAATGTTTGCTGAATTACTGAGCACGGAAACATACTCATGGTCTGGGCACTCTTTTGTGCAGGATGCAAAGGCAATCTACAATGTTCTTTAAAACACAGATGCCTGGTTTAAGTAAACTGTATTCATTGTATATAGTTATTATATCTACAGTCAAAATGTTGTCTTTCTGCTGGGTTTTGGCTATCAAATACTGTATGAATACCCGTATTTGTATTTCCATTACAACATGTTATTTTTTCCTCACTTCTGCTTTTTCTTAACATTTGTGAAATTTTACAAAACATGAGATGTTACTAATTCTTTATATCACCCAACATTTCTTCAAAGACTCAATTAATACATTAAAAAGTAAAAATCATTTGATTTACATAATTTTATTTTACACACAAAATTGAATTCAGTGTTTAATTCCTTCACTAACAATATTTTTAGAAAAGAAAGGAACATCAAAACGTGGTTGTGTTAATGCCCTTGACATGTGCGTAGACAGAGGGTAAATAGTATGGACATAACCTTCACCCACTGTTTCCCCCCAAGTGAATCAAGAGCATCAGGAACGCAGAGTAAGCGAGCCAATCAGACCATTTCTGGCAACAGGTGCTCCTATCACATACCCCAGGAACTGAAACAACGGATCTCTGCCACCGCTGGCGACACACCAAGTTGAAGTCCCTCGGGATGAACTTCAGCCCACTGTTGTGCCCAATAAATGTATGAATGCGCGATGACCTACACTCACCTTTCGGCACCTACGAAGACAAAGGAAGAAACGAACATAAGAACAGAGCCTCCTAGATTACCACCTCCCGATCCTTTGGATAACTTCCTCAGACAACCTAGACGTGAAGCCTCAGTGGCAGCCCCTATCCAAAATGTGTGCCCCTCAATCTCTGCACTAGGATTCCCCAACATCTCCAATGCCATGCGGAAAATTGGAATCGAGATAAGAAGTTGGCATCCACATGAACCAGCAAAGGACCCACGCCCCCTTGGAGAACTTTGCAGAAAGCATGAAAACATGCCAGTGGAAAAACCCGAGAACTTGCCGGAAGGTGACCCAAGTGCCCCAGCCAAGAACATCTGTCTTGGAGTTACACAAATCCAACCTCTGTGAAATCATCCCCAAACAACAATCACCCTAGGGACCGCCTTGGATGTGCTAACGAGCTCTCCAACCAGCATGGCCCTGAAAAAGGTGAATGTGAATGCCAAACGAAACAGCGCCACTTCAAACATAGAAGAACAAACCCGTGGCAGAACATTAAACAGGCCCACCATAAAAGCGCCCGAAACCGGCCTCTGATAATCCGAAATCTTGCGCCCTTTACACCAATCCCTCATAACCAATGAGAGCAAAACATCCGTGGCTCTGGTGAGCTTGAACCAAAACCTGAGCCTGGACAACTTATACAAAACAGCCGAGGAGGAATAGCTCAATGCTTCCCAGAACCAAATTAACTGTAACAGACCTTGCAATCGCTATCCTTCCGACCGAAAACTTCGGAGTTGCCTCTCAAATTCCACCCAATCACCCCATGCCTTACCATACCACTGCCAAGTAGATTCAGAGACCAAACCCCAGACATTATTCGGTCAGCCCAAGACCCGAGAGATCCATTGGCATGGAAAGCCCACTTTGTCCGCCCCAGGCGCCGCAGCCTTGAACTTCCGCCACTGAAAATGAGAAAGAGCATCCACTGTAACATTAGCAACCCCCGGGACATGCACAGCCCTACAGTACACATTCAAAATTAAGCAGCACAGAACCAGGTGCTGCAGCAGCCGAACCACAAGAGGGGAGGATGCCGACAAATTGTTAATGGCCAACACCATCCCCATAATATCAAAGTGGAAGCTCACCCTTTGCCGATCTCGTAGAAGATCCCCCCAAGAGCTCCACCACTATAGGGAAAAGCTCCAAGAAGATCACATTTTTTGTTAACCCCACAGAATGCCAAGATTCCAGCTCGGAGTCTGAACACCAGTGGGTCCCAAAGATGGCCCTGGCCGCGTCAGTAAAGAGATGGAGCCCGGCATTGGACACCTCAGGTGCCTGTAGTAGGAACGACCATTAAAACCTTCCAAGAAGATGGACCAAACTGTTAGGTTCTCACGCAGGGGGCAAGTGATCCGCACATAATGATGAGGGTGTTCCACCCCAGCGGTCGCTGCTGATAAGTGATGAGAAAACACACTCCCCATGGGAATAATTTGGCATGAGAATTACAACTTGCCCAAGATCAACTGCATCTGTCACAATTGAATCTTCTTGAGAAACCCGGCAGGCCACACAAATCCGACACTTTATCCTCCGACAAACAACACT